TGGCCCTTCGGTTACCGAAATTACTTTTATTCATCGATTTAGAAAGATAATTTTGGAGTCATTTTTATTCCAATTTTTATTTTTCTGGCTCTGTTGAGTTCTTTTTCGAGTGGAGCGAATTGGATGGATAAAGGAGCACTACGTTAAGCATCGTTTTAGGGTAAACTGCAGTCAACAGGCAATTTATTTCTATTGAGAACAAAATTCAAATTAACCAATTTATCGGTGGTTTTACCGATATTAATTTTTCGCCTGAGATTTCTTAATTCTGCTAAAAATTGGATCTCCTGGAAAATAAACAAGTAAACTTGCTCGACTGCTTTCATTAAGAAATAGATTTTTCTTTATGAATTCACTTTTATATAAGCGGAAAATTATGCGATTTTTCAACTTCCGGGCAGCGACTGAAATTAAGGTTTTGGTTCCTTATGGTAGCAAGTAATTTAAATGTCAGGTTTGAATAAATCTAAAATTGTTCTGGAAATATTGTCAAGCTTCCTTTTTTGCATTTCAAAACTCGGCAAATATTGTTGCTGGAAAAACCGAACATAAAACATTCCCTAATAAGGAAACTGACAGAAAAATCATAAAAAACGATTTCTGAACTATTCCCATATTATACTTGAAGCTATAAATAACGGTTCTGAAAACTAATTTGCATTAAACATTCAAAAATACTCAAGTTCAACTGAAGATTCCAGTTAAGTAAATGAAGGCTCCAATTGTTCTTGAACCAAGTGTGTTTCGCTTTTAATTACGTTGCATTTCCTTGATACAGACCTGAATAGATCGGTCATTATCCTTTTAATGTGAAGGGGGACGAATAAGGGCCAATTCTGCGATGACTCACAGGCTGTTGCGTAATATTATTAGGAATCGAATGGATCTAAAGCCGTCACTGGGGCTCTAGGGAGCTGACGTCATTGTGCACTTGTTTTTCTCACACGCTTTAATATGCAATTTGTGACTGTTGAAAGGAGAAAGAATGGAAATTGCTTAGAGAAAAACTCTTTACAATATTCATAATTGTCCAACAAAAGTAAACGTACATTGATTGTTATAAATTTTGAACCCACACATTCTGAAGTTTGAGTTTTTATTGATGTAGCAGATATCAGATCAGCAATAAAAACATCAGAACATTAAATTGCTAATAAATCTCGTTGTCCTTCAATCTATGCAGCACTCAAAACATTTTTTGCTAAACAATAATGTTCAATTTGCCTCTTGTATTAAATTCTACCTTATATTCCATATGATTAAGAAGGCCTAAAAATACGAAGTCCGAACAGCGTTATTAGAACTGGAACTTATAAACTATTATTCTTTGATTAACTCTGAATAAATTGGAAACACAAAAAATCAACAAAAGTGTATTTAACGATTAAATTTGAACATACGAGTCCTTCGTCGACCAACTAATTTATGAATACAAACCGTGTTCTTTTCGCAATATAAGTCATCTATTAAATGAATTCCATTTGTTTTTCTTCCATTAGGTCAGAGAAATTTGTCAATATCCAGGATATGTTTATTTCCATTAAAATATGAATATGGCATAAATTAGGGCATAGGCTTAATCATTACTACAATTTTTTGCATTAGTAAAGTATTTTGTATGAACAAAGTCACCAGGAAGCCGTAAATAAATCTAGAAGATAGTGGCGTTCAGTTGGGCTAAGCATATTTTCCAAAACGCTTGTGTTGAAACGCTAGATTTCGTTTTCCAGGCTTCACTGGGGAAATTATTGCCAACTGTGATAAAGTAAAATTTTGAGTTCCTCTTTGGTTTGTCTGCTGATAATTTCTCTCCAAGTAAAAAGAAGTCAATGACCAAACTTAAATTCTTTTTTTTGTACCTATAATTCGTTATATGCACCTTCAATGATAAGTTTACATATTTTCAGTACCTATTTGGTAAACGGAAAGCAAGAAATCATTTTTGTTTTTGAAACTCAACATTAATCTTGTGTTTTCTATCATGTAATTGATTCAAGTTAATTCATTTTTAAGATTATAAGAAACAAAGTTCCACCATAAACCAACCATCAAGACAATCCGCCCTGATATCAAAGAGTTTCTGTTTCAAGTTCGGTAAATGTATTTCAAAATTCAATATCGAAATATTTTGGGCGTTAGGGGCAAGCGGCAAACTTTAACTTTGTAATTAACAAGTTTTTGGTATAATTTTAAAGCTTAGGAAGTTTGATGCAGTGCATTGTAAATCTGGCTAAATGTTGAAGAGGAACTGTGCCTTTCTGACGAACTTGCTATTTGCCTTAATTAAATTTCGTAAGTTGGCGGGATGGTTTGCCTAGTTGTAAATTATGCCTCTAAAATGTTAAATCAAATAATTAGTGGCAGCAATGATATAGTGTTGTTTGATTATAAACAATTCTATATTTATCATTGATTTATTCGTACTGTATCCGTTCCTAATATCAATATAGAAACTGTGTACATTATTTGTTCTTGTTTATAAGCATACGAATGTTGCTGTAGATTATTGATAAGTTTCATTTGGTTTTTCCTGCTTCACGACGTTCCGAAAATACTTAAATTTTAAGTTTCAGCCCTTTTGTTCTCAATTTTGAATGTTTTATTTGCGTTTGTTTATTTGCTTAATGTGATTTCAAATTATCACTTGAAATAATTTTATTTTCAATCTTCATTACATAGTAATATTTTATTACCAACTGGACCAGAATAGCCTAAGTAAATATGGTTTTATAAATGAAGCTCTTCAAATAAACTGAAAAATAAAAAGACCGAATGCCGAAGTCCCCAATTAGATTTCTAGAATTTGACCTAAAACCCCTTGATTCCATTCTATGAGCTCGGCGATAACAGAAAGTTATCCTGAACCATAAAGAGGTTAAAGCTCCGGTTTAGGGCAGATTCTTTTCGCTGCAGAAATTTTCAGAACTTCGAACTTATATAAGACGAGGGGAAGTTCTCCTTTCAACTGGTTCCTAATCTTGCTAACAGCGCGAGTAATTTGTGAAAAAATGTTTTCGAAAACTTTCGCATTTCTAGACTTTCTATTAAAGTAATTTGATCGTTTGTTACCATCAGTTAACCTGGAACTCAATTAACAGCAGGTGTATCTGGAGGAGTTCAAGGGAATTTATATGTTTTATGTCAAACTTTCATAATTAGTAAGTTTGAGAGCAATTTATTTTCTGGTGTGAATTATTTAACAACATCAAATGTTCAGGGTGTGGATGATAAATAATGTTTGGTTGGTAGTAATGTTGCTTTTTTTGAGCAATAAGCGCACACTAAATGATTCAAACGTATTCAAAATACAGCTGAACACCGTTTCTAAAATGAGCGCTATGTAGGAAAGAGCAAGATGATGTTTCTCTATAACAAATAGAAATTTCTCATATCAAATAAGTTTCCATGTCTCAAATGTATACTCAATAAACGAACAGAAATTGTCTGCTATAGCAGTCTAAATTCAAATATTTTTGAACTAGAAATGGCATTGAAAACGCCGCATTTCTGCTTTATTTGGAATTCCAAATAAGACAAATTGTCTATCGCTCTTTGTGCAGAAATGCGACTGTACAAGTAACCATCGCTATTGATGTGTTATGCAGTTCTGATCTTCTGACATGTTTCCAGGTTCGTGTCAGAAACTAGAAAATAGTCCAGTTTCTGCGAATAAGAATACACGTGATATTTTTCTCTTGTTTTTACAATGTTAATGGTAAGCAATAGTGTTTTTAATTATCTAAATATCAGGAAATAGCGGCTATAAAATGGTTGATAAATGACTGGTTGTCGTGCCCAAACCACATCAAAATGAAATAGTTACTGTGAATATCTAATATTATGAGAGCGAAGCTTGCACTCACCAACGAATACTTACTTATAAAGCTTTCAAGGGTGTCTCTTATCAAAGAGCTAATCAGAACAAGCCAGTTACATCATCATTCATCCAGCTCGTAAATGCGTGCGTGATTTTTGGATGATTTCGAGGCTAAAACTGATTGTTGTTAATTATTTTCAAATGTTTTCCAAGCTGAATAACTTCGCTGGATATATTCGCATGCAAGTAAATTAAACAAGCTAATCTGAAACTTATAATAAAATCATCTGAAAGAGGAGCTTTGAGTATAATGTGTATTTACAATTCGGAGTCGACCACGCATATATTTAATTAGTTATTCATTCAATGGAGATGGAAAGTTTATATGTGTAGTTTAACAATTCGCTTATTTCGAACTTGTTCGTTGATAATTTTTGTTTTGCTTTTTCAAAAATGATAATAATAATTATTTTATATCTATAATACTATTTCAAAATTACTATGCAAAATATAAAATAAGCCATTGTCAGTTTATAGTAAAAAAAATGAGCATAATGAAATTTTCAGTGTTCCACAGTTATATTCAATATACCCTTCTAGAGTGTAGGGTTTAAAATCTGTCAGCAATTTAATGCGGACATTTTTCAATCAATTTAAGTCTTCAATTTCTAAAGTGTGTTGTTTAATACTTTTTCGATTATTTCCAAATCTCTTTCAGTGCTAAGCATTATTTTGCGATTGTTTCCTTGGGTCTCAACTGGACTTTTTAAGTATTATAATTTTAATAAGAAATCACGAGGTAGTTAGGGTGTATAAGCCGCAAAGGGTAAAGTGTTTCAATTCTTCCAAATATTCATAATCATTAAGTTTCGATAGAAAGCCAAGCATTTGTAGATCCCTGTGTTTAAAAAAACAAAAAAATTCTGCATAACAAATATCCAGGCAAAATGTGGAAACAAAGCAAATTACAACTAATTTATACGTTTAGCAAACACGAGTGGTTCAATTTCAATGTGAAAACTTTGGAGTGAAACACCTCTAAAGATGCAAGTAACCCGTGCTAGCGAAACGTCAGGATTTTTTCTACGACGAATACAAACTCTTTAGTTGAAAGCGTAACTCACTTAATTCGTTTGTCGTTTGATAGTTTAAATAGTAACTAATGTAATAATTTCTATTTCAGATGAACCGCCCTATTCAAGTAAAACCAGCGGATACCGAAAACCGTGGTGGTGAGTTAAATTTTTGTGCTAAATATTGTGGCTCAATGTTAAACTTAACAATATATTAGAGAATAAAGTTATTTTATTTTTTGTCAAAGTCGGATGACTGAATCTTTCATTGCATTACTTTTTAGATTTATTTCACTGACTTTGACACTAAACTTTCAACTAACATACTTCGCAAAGCCATTTATATATGTCTAAAAGTTTGCACAGAACCTCAGCTGAAATATATACTGATAAATTATATAATATTCAAGCAGGACTTCTTGATCGTAAGTTATCAACACCGAAAATTTATTTTACAGATTTTGAGAAAGAAAAAAGCGCAAAATCAGGCTCGTTTAACCGATTTTATAATAACGGGGATGGTACCGGTAAGCATCGACGTAGTTAGAAATTTTTCACACCAGTTTTACGATATTTCATTATAAGTATTCATTATTTGACTTTGGAAATTTTATACAATTTGGTAGATATTTGATTTGTTTTATTATTTTGCTAGTCAGTAATTATTTCAATATCAGAACACATAATGCTTCTATCATCATCCATCTTCTCGTAAACTTCTGCGTTCATTTTCCTGTTGGCGGGTTAAATCAGATCAGATCAATGTATTAAAATGGAGCAACTGAATAGTTTTGCCAAAATGTGTACACACGAGAAGATGGAAGATTTGTTACCGGTTCGTTTCGGTAAATTGCTTTTACAAATTTGGATCTATGGTTCGTTTATTGACGTCATAAAATTTTATCGCACAATGACGAAGCAATCGGAATATTACTAGAAAAAGTATGAAAACTAAGCAAATGCATTAATTTATGACGCCATGAACAACCTTTAAAAATTCCTTTTGTAGATTTTTCCATTTGTGGCACTATCTTTTAACTTTGCTATTGTATTTTCGCAATTCTCTATCTAGACTTTCCTTCTTATATTTGCTTGTATTAAAATCCAGTCAATCATTTTTCAAACTCTGCATGATATATTTAAGGTATAAAAAGTGATTATCCCATTAAAACCGATCGATAATTGCTACTTTATAGTGATTTAAGCAATTCGAATGAAGCATTAATCAACTGCAAGAAACGTATTCGGGAAAATTAATAAATATTAAATTTAAGCCCTTGTTGTAAAGTTCGGTATAAATTAATAACTTACCCGAGTTAGTTTTCATTTTCAATTAAAATGTTAATATATTCACAAGCGCAAACTTGAATTTTTGCTTTAAACAGGCGCCGAAGGGTTGAGAGGAGCCATAAGCATGTTCTCATTTTAAATCTGAAGTAATCAATTCAATGGGTAGGAGGATTAGATTAGGAATAGTTCGAAGTTTACTCCTATATTCCTTTGTGTTTATGCAGAACCAACCAGAGCATAATGAACATAATTCCAACACTGAGGTAGAAAATACACTTATCTTCATAAAGTACTTGCTTGTTCCAAGGATAACTACTGCTCGAAATGAGTAATAATTTTAGAATATTTTTATTTCAACAATAATGTTGGGTTTACGTGCATATACACACATTGCAATTCTACTTGTAGGAGAAATGCCTACAAGTAGAATCCGAAATTAGTGAGCGACTTTTGAAAGCATATACGCAATGCAAATAAACTAATTAATGTGACTTGGACTAGGTATAGTAAGGCTCGGTATCTTCTTTCCCGGCAATTTTATCTGGTAGACTGGATAACGACTGTTGTAGGTTTTTTTTGCAATAGAACAACTATATTTTTTGCAACTTGTGCCATAAAAACAAATAACTTCGTGCTGGTTCGCTGGACTTCTTCGCATTTTCAATGTGTAGGTAGTTTAATCTGCATGTTTGTCAAAATTGCCTAAGCTGGAAACTTGGAATTCGAGCATATACAGGGTGTCCAAGATAAGGATGCATGGGATCTCCGAAACCGTAAGATATACGAAGTCGATTGAGTTACGAGAAAGTTGCATCAGGGGGTCATATACATGGCGATTTCACCAAACAAGTTTTTCTTTCAATTTTTGAGATATTTCAGAAAAAGTGATTTTACAGATTTTCGTTTTAATTCATTGTTAAAATTATTTTAAATCATATCAAAAAATACTTTCTCAGTGCACCTTTTCGAGCTCTACAGTTTCGTTTCTTTCAAACCACCATCAACTTCTGTTTTTTTATAAGGTCCGAAGAAAAATACGTAACGTATTAGTAATTCAACGATGTATTATAGTATGATTTGTTGCGGTTCTCAAAGTTAGACGTCTGAAATTTGACCTATTAAGCTGCTTTATTTCAGGATTTTAATTTAGTTGTAACAATGTGTATTTATTCAAAAAATGTATTGAGCTGTTTTTCGTAATTTAACCAACTTCGTATGTCTAACGGTTTCGAGATCCTCATACATGGATCGTTCTCTTCGTCGCCCTTTATACGAAATGATGGCATTAAAAACCGTAAAATATTTTTTATATAAATACTGGCTGTTAATCAGCTAAGATAAGATTATTTTAATGAAAACTAATAGAAAGATGATCAGTTCAGTTGATTGATGAAGAAGCGGTGGAAATTAGCACTTGAAAAAAATCCGCGGTCTTGTAAAAACGATTTTCACCGACCGATCTGAGTTGCTTAAAAGTGAAGATAATAATTCTTGGTTGAATCAGATAAAATTAAAAGAAAGTTTCTCTAAGTGCAATAGGAATCGTTGGCCCTCACATAGGTTATCAAGCCAGAGTAGAAGAAAACTGTATAAAACATAGAACTGAAACACAAAGAGAAACATCAGTCAGTAACAGTAGTCGCTGAAATACCTAAGTTTAAGTAAATGTCGGCAATTTACTACAAGAAATGAACCTCATCCGAGATATTCAATTCTCTTAGGGCGAGCGATTCACGGGAACTCCCGTTTAGGAAGTTGATTGTTTTATTTTAAATAAAGAGTTCGCCTATCTTAAAGGCTTTGTTCATAGGGATTCGTTCCCCTTTTTCCCCACGTTTTTCGACGGAACGGGTTTTAATCAATATGAGAAACATTGGCTGATAAATATTTAATTCCGGTATGACTGAGGACATGCCATTCGCCTAATTATAGATGGTAATGAAAAACAAAACCAACACTTAGGACATTGGTCAGTTAGTCACGCAATAGAGTTCATCAAAAATAACATTTTATTTATTTACTAGCAGTTGTAAGCAAAAAAATCTTATCAAGATGGGTCACTTGAAGAGATATGAATATGCCTCTTTATTTTCGCAGCTTTCAAGCTGGAGATTTCAAGGTAGCCGAATATTGGCACACATCATTATTTAGATTGTATCTGCTCTCAAAGTAACTGTCAGAAAAGTCACTCACATTTCCAATCTTCTTGCGCATACATTTATTCTTTGAAAGTTCATTTTTACGTTCTAGTGAGCACCCTCGATTCTATATGACAAAAACTACCCCAACTTTCTGATAAGCCGTTGTCAATCACTACCCTGGGGAATATTCCCATCTAACGGAGAGCATGGTAATTTAAATCGGGGCGTTTATCGCCAACTTTTAGAAAACGTTAACTCAACTTTTTCACCTTCGGTAACCAATTATGCCAAAATTAGTCATTCTTTTTACAAGATACAGCCCGTTGTGTCAACATTTCCTTTGCCAGGTCAACGTTTGTTTTCTGATAATATGTGAGAACCAGCATGTAAAGTAGCTCTTAATACACGAGGGTGATTATACGTTTCTTTAGTGCATGTATGGTATGATTTCCATCGACTACTACCTTATTATTATGCCGAGTGTTAAATAGTTTGAAAATTTGCACAAGAGTTTGCTGAGCCCGAAGAATAGTAAGTATGATAATGAATAATAAAGAATGATAAACAAGTTATTTACAACTGTATCTTTGACATGTTATACCCTAAAATAATGTATTTCAAAATTATTAAATTTCCGGAAAAAAATTATCAAATAAACTCCATTGGTGGCGGATCAAAGATACCGTTACTATATTACTACAAATTTTGCCAAAATGTTTGCTTATTTCGAATGCATTTAAGTTACCGTTTGTCGCAATGAATTTTTAAGATTTCAGACAGTAACCTTGTCTAAAACAAAAATTACTTCTTAAACCAAAATATAGTGAAATTAGGTCTGAAGAGCATGACGGCCAATTTAAAAAAAATATATGTAACTCATCCGTTAATCACAAAGTTGAATGAGAGTAGTATCGAATCTAAGCAAAAACATTTTAAAAATTAAAATTAAATTGTGAAATATTCCAAAAAACTTTTTAATAATGTAAAAGCTCCAATAAGTCTGTAGCAATAAATGCGTGCTAAACCAAAACAAAAATGGTATATGCGCTTTGTATATTTCACGATAAAGGTGAAAATAATTACAGACAACAGATAGGAAATAATTCGATGTGCTTGCCAATCTTGCAAAAGTCGCTTGATTTATGTTCTGGCAGCAAAATTCAAAATGTTGATTAAAAGTCTAGTAAGAAATATTTTTTACAAAATCTCACCAGATAATTTCAGAAATATGCACAAAAATCCGGCTAAAAATTATACTTGTTGACTTTCAAAGACTATAGATCGGGATTAATGTTTGCCGATTCGAAAAGATTTGCCTTTAAACATGCACACACCTTTTCACCAAAAATTAGTTAACGTTGGTTTCTTTTTTATCAATGTTTGCCGACTTCCAGTTTGAAAGCACGCTTTAAACACTAAAATTAATTCAAGCTTAGTTGCCTCATTTAATTTAAAAGCATTTAGAAAACATAATGTTTCTTTTTCCCTAAGGTTAAAACATTGTCATAACACATTAAGCAAACATTAATGTATAGCAAATACTGGGAAGAGCTTAATTAAGTGAAGTTGGGCCATTTAAGGGCCTTAAAGTAACACTTGACCTGATTTTTTAAACTAATTAAATCGTGCGATGGGCTTTCTTTTAGATCCCCAAGGAAGTAATGAAGGATAAAAGCACTGTAATTGTAAGCCATTTTCAAATGCAAATAACGAAAATGGTAAAACCCAAAACATGCACTTACTTAACTTTAAATGGAGATGTTGATCTTTTGCAAAATTTCTACACTTTACAGGTCAAATAAAGCTGCATTCTAAACTGTTGAAATTAAAGGAAGTCTAATTGGGTTTTGTATTGAACTTTGAAGCAAGCGAACAAATTGAGGCAGGCAGCAATAGCAATATTAATTATTCTCTAATTGATAGACATCAAACAAACAAAAATTTATGCTGGAATGATGAATAGTATATAATTTTAACGACTAAGAAATAATTTGTCATTGTAATTCGCCAAAGAAGTTTGGTGAAAGTAATATGTCAAACTGGGCATTTATATTTTTATATTCAACTGCAGTGTAACTTTTCAAATTAAAAGTTTT